TAGATGCTGCCATTGTTAAGTCAATGAAAGCAGTCTGGTCTGATTTATGACAAATGGTTTATGTGGGTTATGAAAAGTAACTGATAAATATTTAAAGAAAATGAGAAAAGACTTTGGTGTGGCGGTTAGCCTGTACAGTCATGGGGGAGACATGAGCACAAGTCAAGAATCTCAGGTCCAACCCAAAACCACTAAACCACTAAATTATGGAGAGAAGTATCAGTGAGAGTCGCATTGATAAGTAGTATTGGTATCAATTCCTATCAAAAAGTCAAAACCTAAATAAAAACTATTCTGTAAGTTATTTATCATAACATTTGTTGGTGGTAATGCATTAGTCAGACATTGTGGGTTATGTTTGGCAGACATGCTTTCAATGTTATTTATGGTTTTAGTTGGCTGGCTGCACCGTGACAACTCATTAACTCTTTTTCTCTGTGTCTGTTTGTTGCTATAGGAACAGAGAGGAAGAGAGGAACTTATACGTCACCACCGTGACAAATCCTTCACAACATCTGGATCTTTAAAAATTCATCAAAGAGTTCAAACTGGAGAGAAACCATACAGCTGTGACCAATGTGAGAAAACATTTTTTCGCTGCAGTGCCCTCAAAGCCCATCAACGCATTCACATTGAAGGGGAACTGTCCAGTTTTTTCCAAAGTGGGAAGGATTTCACAGAGTCAGGGACCTCAAAAAAACGACACATTGACACAGCAGAGAAGCTGTTTAGCTGTGATCAATGTGAGAAAGCTTTCACCACTCTACGTAGCTTAAAAAGTCACCACCGTGTTCACACAGGAGAGAAGTTGCACTGCTGTGACCAATGTGGGAAAACTTTTTCGCAACGCACGTCCCTTGAAACTCACCAAATAATTCACACAGAAGAGAAACCGTACAGCTGTGATCAGTGTGGCAAAGCTTTCACACGCTCAGGTCACTTGACAGCTCATCAACGCAGTCACACAGGAGAGAAACCATACGGGTGCGACCAATGTGGGAAGAAGTTTTCTCAAATCAGAACCTTAATATCTCATAAATATATTCACACCGGTGAGAAACCATACAGGTGTGATCAATGTGGCAAATCCTTTCCACAGTTAGGGGCCTTAAAAACCCACCAACGCATTCACACCGGAGAGAAACCGTACAGCTGTGATCAATGTGGCAAATCCTTTCCACAGTTAGGGGCCTTAAAAACCCACCAACGCATTCACACCGGAGAGAAACCGTACAGCTGTGATCAATGTGGCAAAGCCTTTGTACAGTCAGCAACCTTAAAAAGCCACCAACGTATTCACACAGGAGAGAAACCATACAGCTGTGATCAATGTGGCAAAGCCTTTGCACTGTCATGGGCCTTAAAAAGCCACCAGCGTATTCACACAGGAGAGAAGCCGTACTGGTGTGACCAATGTGGAAGATTATTTGCCTGGTGCACTCAATTGAGAACCCACCAATGCCGGCATGCAGGAGAGAACCCGTACAGCTGTGACTAGTGTGAGAAAGCTGTTATTGTACGGTATGACCTAAAAATCCATCAACTTGTTCACACCAGAGAGAACCCGTCCTGATGTGACCAATGTTGGTAGTGACATTTCTAGTGTAATGTACTGATTTACTGTAGTGTTTATACTGTTCCTTAAGTTGACCTTCAAAGATACGTGTTGAAGCATTGTACTCTGTGCACTGACAAGTCATACACTGGTTTATTATTTAATGTATTCCTATGACACACACATGCACTCATTGAACACTTAAGCATTGTGGTGGAGAAGTACCTAGAATTAATTGTGCATAATTTTGTAAAAATAACATGTTGATGGGCTCAGAAACATTGGTGGAAAGTTAGGGGAATTCCAGCTTGTCCTGATATGACTCTGGTAAGAGGAGGCGGGCCTAGACTGCCCAGGAAACTATTACGAGTGCAAGTAGATAGGCTGGCTTTGAGGGAAGAACGGTGAAGCCATGACACCGTTATGTTCAGCCCAAGTGGGTAGGGTTAAAGAAAAAAGGTGACCAGGAAATCAAACTTGGCAGAATGGTTAGGTCCCAGACCCAGGCACGTCTGCACATGGACGCACACGCACACATGCACACAAACGAACAGACGCTCACTCACTCAGATAGTATAAAGGTTTTTGGAAGTTGTATGAGCGGGGCTGTTTCTGCTGTGTCCGTTGTTTTCTAAGACCTGTATTGTTGAGTTGTACTTTGCAATTAAAGTAATCTCGCTGGCTGTAACTTTTCTCCATGGTTCTCTGAGTCTCTTCATTTCAGTGTTTCCTGAAGTTGAGCAATTTCCGTACACTGACCACAAACTTTTCAAAATCAATCATGCAACTGTCAGGGGCAATGTTGCAGCTCACAATGCACCCGACCCTGAAGCGTATCTCTGCGACTGGTGAGCCCACAGGATGGTGACTCCATGTTGATCTTTGGGACTGTGCCCCACAGAGCCCCATGAGTCAAGTCCATGTAGATATATATAGGCTGATTGACCAAATAAGCATTTGAAAACTGATATTGATGCCTCTTACCATGGCTGTGATCAAAGTATTTGCATCAGCCTGAGACCTCTGTCACAGACAGGCTCTGCAGTCTCAGACGCTGACTCAACATGCTGAATGAAATGTTTAGTGACTTGACTGATTTTTGGTC